TTAGCCATTGCAAGGACTGTGATTCATTGCCAGCACTGGGACAGCTTCCTTCTTTGAAAAGCCTTTCGATTAGAGAGATGCATTGAATAACAGAGGTCACTGAAGAATTCTATGGCAGTTCGTCTTCCACAATGTCTTTTAACTCTCTTGAGAAGCTTGAATTTGAACATTTGCCAGAGTGGAAGCAATGGCACGTACTAGGAAGTGGAGAGTTCCCTACACTTGAGAAGCTTTCAATTGCAAATTGTCCAAAGTTGATGGGGAAGTTGCCTGAAAATCTCTGTTCTCTGAAAGAATTGACCATTTCAGAATGTCCCGAACTCAATTTGGAGACACCCATCCAACTTTCAAGTTTAAAATGGTTTGAAGTTGGTGGTTCTCCTAAGGTTGGAGTTCTTTTTGATGAAGCTCAGCTGTTTACATCCCAACTTGAGGGAATGAAGCAGATTAAGGGATTATATATTGATAATTGTAACTCTCTTACCTCCTTACCTTTTAGTATTCTTCCCAGTACCTTGAAGAGAATATGGATATCTGATTGCCAGAAATTGAAATTGGAGGCGTCAGTTGGTGAGATGTTTCTCGGGGATTTGCTACTGGTAGAATGTGATTCTATAACTGAGTTGGTCTCAAGAGCATGTTATTTGTCTATAAGGAGTTGCCACAACCTTACTAGTTTGTTAATTCCTACTGCCACTGAAAAGCTCGCTTGCAACAACCTTACACAGCTGAAGCGGCTGCCACAACTCCTTTCATCTCTTAAGGAACTGCAACTGTCGAATTGTCCAGAAATAGAGTCCTTTCCTCAAGGAGTATTGACCTTCAATTTACAACTCCTTTCAATCTGGAATTGCAAGAAACTGGTGAATGGCCGAAAGGAGTGGCGTTTACAGAGAATCCCCTGTCTCAAAGTGTTAGTGATTGTACATGATGGCAGTGACGAAGAGATTCTTGCTGCTGGTGAGAATTGGGAGTTGCCTTCCTCTATTCAAACACTTAGAACAGAGAATCTGAAAACATTAAGCAGCCAAGTTCTCAAAAGCCTCACCTCTCTTCAATCTCTATGTATTAAGGGTAATTTACCTCAAATTCAGTCAATGCTGGAAGAAGGGCTTCACTCCTCTCCTTCTCTTCAATGTCTAGGCATTTCCTCGTGCCATCAACTCCAGTCTCTTGCCCCCCTGCCCACCTCCCTCTCTAGGCTGATCATCGATGATTGCCCTAATCTCAAATCTCTTCCACCCCTGCCCTCCTCCCTCTCTGAGCTGACCATCACTGATTGCTGTAATCTCAAATCCCTTCCAGTAAAAGGGATGCTCCCTTCCCTCTCTGAACTATCTATTTCCAAATGTCCATTCCTCAAACCACTCCTAAAATTTGACAAGGGGAAATACTGGCCAGAAATTGCTCATATCTCCACCATAAAGATCGATGACGAATACCTTTAACATTTAAAACAAATGTAAGTTTTTCTTTAGCATTATTCAGGATTTTTATTAATGATTATCGGCTATTAACTTAGCAAACTTTTTTCTTTGTCAGGATTCTGATAACAATATATTCAAGTTGTTACCGTTCTAGCTCAGGTGGTAATAGGAAAGTTCTGCTGCTTCTCTATTGAATAGACAGTGCTTCAATGTGGTCTGACAGCAAAGTGTAAGTGAATAAACATAGTTTCACAGTTTTATTACCGTTGACTGTAAACGTTATGTTTATACTTTGAACTGTTTATACATAAATCTGTGTGATCATTACAAATGACGTATCCCTTTGATATTAATGACATTTAATATTCTTTTCAGAATATAAATTATGTCGTTCTCATCATCAAACACATAGCTTTATTTTTATGCTCCATAGAGAATATAAATTTTAGAAAAGATAATAACGGATAACGATCAGAAGTTTTAGGAAATAAGTAAACTTCCACTGTCAGAATTAGATGTTATAGACTTGCAGCTAGTTGTTGTGCGTTATATAATTCTTGGACGACAGGTATTGGATTGGTTTCTCATTGCTTATTGATTTATGGTCTTTTAAGCATATGAAGAAAGAATATGCATCAATCATCCATGGGAATGTCAGTATACGCCATCACCATATCTATTTGTTGGGACATAAAAAGAACATGTCTAAGTTATCTGAATTTCTGAAGGTGTAATTGTTAGAGCAAACTGTAAATGCAATATAAAAAGTACAGTATAAGAAATAGGGAAGACATTGAGGAGTGAAATTTGTTTGTATAATTTCTTGATGTTATTTACTGATTAAATGATATATGTGTATTTCAATTCATACTGCTTAAACATCCTCAGGACTGAAGTTGGTATTGGAAATAGCTATGATGCAATGGGCTGGAATCAGATTACAACATGAGGGCGTGCGACAAGTGTTAATGGAAATTAGGAGGAAACATTGGAAATCCATACAAAAGGAGGTTATTGCAGCCATTTGGGGGTACTGATCTACCATACATGGAGGGCTCGGAATTGGATGCTGTTCAAAGGAGAAACTTTATATACAGAGAGGGTCATTAAGCAAAACAAAGAGGAGTTGATGGGTAGATTGACTTTACCTTGCCTACACAAGAAACTTCATAGATCGATGTAGGGGTTTAATGCAAAGATTACACTTGTAAGTTGTAACTAGTTTATTTGTTTCTTTCTGAGGGCGGTGATCATCTGGCTTGTTCAAAGGAGATGTCGAGGTGCTCTTTGACTTTTAATAATTTATAAACATAAAATTCCTTATTCATTCAAAATTAGTCCTAATCTGGAAAACTTTCAGGTATTATGAGGTGCGTTATCTGAGAAGCATCTATGTTTCATACAAAGATGAGAGCAATTTTCATGTGCATTTCAGGACCTTAATAGTGTTAATCTGCTTTTCTTACATCGATATTGATAGGTAATACCTGTAATGATTAAAACGAGTGGTGTTATGATAAATGCAAGTTATTCCTTCTTTTTTGTTTTTTTTTTTCTCTTGTTAAATCATGTTGGAATTAGGAGTAAAATTTTTGTCTAGGAAGGTCATAGCAAAGTGTAATGTTAACTAATTAGAAGCCTTTTCTATCAATGACAATACATAGATATGATAACGAATACAGAGTCTCTAACAGAATATCCAAAGTACAAGTAAGGAATAAGTAGTAATTAACAATGTTGTAATAAAAATCAGGTTTTCATTCAACATAAGTTTATACATGGCTGGTGTTACCTGAATATTATAAGAAAAAGCTCTTAGCTGGCAACCTAGGGCTAAGATGAAATAAAAACTAAAAGTAGCAAATAAGAAAAAAAGATAATATAGCCATGAGAATAACAAGAACTATTCATGCAAGGCAACTTTTTTTCTACAGATAGGGCAATTGTTCTTCTCTGATAGCCAAGTGAATATGCAACTCCTATGGAATACATGGGAGCACGGTGTTGTCACCGCCACCACTGATTCATCACAAAATTTCCCAAAGCAAATAGGGCATAAGTCCTCTGCCAACTCAAAATTATGCACAATATTCTTCAATAATACTTCCCCCACTGTCATAATCTTCAATCCACATAGCAGCTCCCTAAATTCTTGTTTTTTCCCATCGAATACATTTTCAGAACAAAAAAACAAAGCGCGCTCCAACAAGTAATTAGACATAGAATGAAGGATGTCTTGAATATCAGAATTTTCAACATCAAACTCTATATCAAGTCGAGCCAAATATAGTTCAGCCGTAGAATAAAATCCATTTAGATATAAATTTCTCCTCTTATTATCAGACTCTAGAACTCCATACATGTAAAAATTAACTACATTTTCATGGCTGCTCTCACTAACATTATTCCACAATATCTCGTACATATTACTAATATTAGTTAAGCAGATCATATCCCTTGAAGATTCCGCCTCCTCATCCGAGTCCGAGTCCGAGATCACGTCCACGTATGCGGACATGTCCACGTCCACATCCACGTCCACGTCCACGGTCACCACAATCTTAATGCCTTCCGGATGTGATAAGGCACAGAAGGTAGTTTTACAATAACAGCTTCTCAAATAAGCTGAGATAGTTTTGGCTAAAGAATGAGTTGGGTCCAAACAGAACAATTTAGATGGGGACAAAGCATTGCTAATGCTTTTAACTAGATCTACAAATGTGGATTCTGTATCTGCATTTACTAACACGAAAGGTTGGATAATAGGAGTAATATTATTTTTGACTCGAAAAATCAAAAATCCATATTCGGGTAATAAAGCCCCAAACTTCCTACAATGACTGTATACATGGCTCACCATATGTTGGTGCTTCCACTTGAACACCCTGATCTTCATTCCCGTGACACTTTCACATGAAAACGCCATCCCTTCTCACTTATTGTAAACGAAACAGAGCAGCTTTATTTATATAGAATCAATATTTTCCTATGTATATGTGAAGTAGGAAACAAATTCAATATTTCCGGCTGTGTTTTGGTGAGAATAACAGAGTTTATTTTCCTTTCCGGAATTAACTTCGTATTCAACTTCAAAAAATGGTAAGTTTAGTTTATGTTATATAGGAAATAAAGAAAGAGTAGGAATTCTAAGTAGTTTAGGATTTATTATTTGGTAGTTATTTAATTATGTCTAGTTAGAATTTGTTTGTCATTCCTTATGTAGGAATAGGTTTTTTTAGTACCAGTTTAATTTGGTTTGTTAGTATTATAAAATAGGAATGTCTTATTATATATTTTCATATAAGGCTGTTTAAAAAAAGTATTGCTTTATAGGTAATGGATTATTGGTATAGCAGTTTCACTAATGATTATTGAAAGCTTCCAGGTATGTTTCTCGTAGGCTCTCCAATTGTGGCTCAAAACGTCTTTGCTTCTTACATGTTATGTGTTTTTCTAGAATCAAACTATATAAAAAGTATTATAAATTATAATAGTTAACAATTTAAAATATTTAAAAGACATATAATAACCGATCAAAGAACAACTTAGTTGACTCTCGAAATTTCAATCGTGTCACAAAAATTTGGACGGAGAGAATAAAGTGGTCATCTTAAAGCATTCACAAGTAGAGAAATCAACAGTGGCTGATAAAACATTCACAATTATGCTTTCCTCTGGTGTTAAATATTTCATAACAATTTCTGAAATTTGTTCAAAATTATCTTTGGAGTTTCCATGAACCGGGACCGTAGGTATTCCAGGCAAATCCACCATAGTCAAGTCAGGAACACCATTCTTTTTCACTATGAGTGTTAAAGGGATGTTGGATATTCCCTTACCATGTCCAGCAATCTCATTAGTTGCAAGAATAATGGCCTCTGCTACGTGAAATTCATTGGTTGGAACTGATTTTCCAGTATACGCTAAAGTAATTAAACTTTGGTCTCATTGTGATTTTGGACCCTCATGATGAGAGGCACTCTAGTGCAAATGCCATTCCCTCTAGGAAGGCTAATTCCGGAAAGTGATTCAATCACAATTGACTTCCCAAAAGACTGATCGCCGACAACCATAATAGTAGGCAGCTGGATACCTTCTTGCATGATGTTGAGGTGCCTAAGCTTGTCCACACAGTCGAGAAGGGGTCGAATTCTATCATTTAAGGATGAAATAATTGGTGCATGAACACCAGAAACTTTTGGTTCTATTACTGCAATATGTTTTGGATCATCAACTTGTAGTGGTTATTCACTAGAAGAAGATCCATTCACCATTTTGCTGAACATCATGGTGAGTATGGCAAAAAATGTTGTGGTTTTGCAGCAAGGTGTAGTTTGTAGAGTCTACTTGGATATTGGTTGATAAATCCAGTCTTGATGACCACACGATTCATAATATCCATATTTATACATGTTTGATCATTATTCAAAGTTCAAGAAAATCGTTGGTAAGGGTGTGTTATACCCCCAACAATTCACTTAATATAGACAGAGGGAGTAGTACTCAAGAAACTATAGAAATTTCTAATTGTGATACTGCTGTTTAGCACATAAACAAAGGGCTATTAGCAAATTCTCCATAGCTATAAAACTGAGTCAATACAAACAACGGAGAAATCAAAACTCTACATGCTTCAAGTGCACCACTTTATCGTGTGATAGCCTATTCAAGATGTTACTTGACAGCAAAAATGATAAACTAGATATGTACACAATATGCCAGTAAAGATCAAAAATACAAAATCATACAAAAAAAAGTACCAGAAAATAGCTGGAAGTAGATGCAATTCCGAATTATAGTTGTTTTTAATGGTTTTTCCGCTCTTTCCACACCTCCTGATATCTGGTGCCAAACTGTCGCCCCTTTCCTTATTTCTTTGATATAGAGTTGACTGTCTTTGTGGCATCCATTGTACAAGTTCATAAAAAGGGCTGGACAAGTGGAATGAGGGAAAGCGCGTAGAAGAGTCCAGCATGTATATCCTAAAAGATGTTACATTTAATAGAGAATGCAAACAGTTAAAGCAGAATTAAGCCATCAAGACGGGAAATATACCCCAAAAAGGCCACTAGTGAATGAAATTGGAAAGCAGAATTTAAGGAGCATCATAAAAAAGAAACCAATGCAGAATCAAACTCATTAATAGGAAGCTAGGACCTTTTGTTCGAACCATCAGCAAAAGAAATTAAAACATGGTAAATGGCAGATAAGATGCTAGAACAGGACAGACATACTGCAAACTTAATAAAAGAGAACTACGTAGATAACCAAAAAAGTTGAAAGAAGAGAACTAAGGCCACAAGGACAACAAGACATACTATCTGAAAACATCAAACACTCGTTTACGCCTTTTCCCCATCAATGTGAAGAGCAATCCTGTCCATAATTTTCGCCACCACATCTTTCGACTCCTTAAGCAGCTTCACACTCTTTTTCAGCCTAAGGCGTTTCTCCAAAACCAAAGGTGATTCTTCCAGCATTCTCTCAATGCCACCACCATGGGATGCCATAAGTTCATTAACAATCTCCTCCTCAATCTCATAATTAACCATCTTTTGAAGATTAAACATTGTATACAGTGCCATATGATGGACCAATCTCATCAACACGATTTTCCAGTATGCAATCATCCTCATCTTCAATTCAAAAGCTTGCTGAACAACATCCTTATGCTTCCTCAAACTCCCAACATCAACTTCTCCAATTCCCTCGAGGTTTATTATCGAGCGCTTGTTAGAATCATTCATAATCTCCATAAATGGTTTTTGCTGAGCCATGAGCCTACTACAAGTTCCAACATACTCAGGATTATAAGTGTAATCCGTCAGCCTTTCCATCTCAATGATTTCTCGGACCCAATTAATCGATTCATCCTTCCTCTTGGCAGTCAAATTTTGCACCGCGCACCTAGTGGAAGACTGAAGTTGTTGGTAGTTACAGAAATGATGCATCAAAACTTTGATGACAACTGTCTCTATATAGTTCCACAATTTCCCCGCGAACACCTCAGGAGTTGCTGAAATCCCACTGACCTTTTTCTGTAAAACATTCAGAAAAACAGCACGAGGGAGGAAATTTGGTAATCCGATCCCATTTGCTTCTGTTAAAGACATGATCTCATCCATCAAGAAATCTTCCTTTTTTTCAATGCTCTTTGAATGTAGCTCAACAGCGTACTCGTTGAGCATCTCAGCTAATCTAGCAGTGCAATGCATTTCAAGATCTTCAGCATACTCATCAAACTCCCCTCTAAGAAATATTTTCTTTAGAGACTCCTTGGTGGAACTCAGAATACGCATGAACATTGTCAATGCTTCAGCAACAGAACTCAAATGTTGTGGTAACTTGTTGAGAGCAGCAACATTAACAGTGAGTTTGTCGTTAATCTTCCTCACAATATCTGGCAAACATTTGGAAATGATGTTTGCTTGAATATGCACCAACTTATGTGCCAGAACAGGAACACTAACCATTGACTTATCAATCTTTGATAATAGTGCATGAGTTTGGAAAAGCCTAGCCTCCTCACTACGAGCTTCATCGTAAGACTTATTCCCAGTTCTGTTCTTAACACAAACATAGCCAAGTCCTATATTAACATCATTTGATGTAACTTTTTCAAGTAGCCCTTCAGGAGCTTTATCAACTTTTGTCACAACAGCTATAGTCCTCTCCCCGGTTTTGTCCACCTTCTGCGACATCCGAATAGACTCACAAGTAGGGAAATCAACAGTAGCTGATAAAACATTCAAAATTATGCTTTCTTCAGGTGTTATATATTTCATAATAATATCTGAAATTTGTTCAAAGATATCGTCTGGTTGTCCGTGAACAGGAACTCTAGTAATTCCAGGCAAATCCACCATAGTCAAGTCAGGAACGCCATTCTTTTTCACTATGAGTGATAAAGGGATGTTTGATATTCCCTTACCATGTCCAGCAATCTCATTAGTTGCAAGAACAATCGCCTCCGCAATGTGAACTTCATCAGTTGGAACTAACTTTCCATTATACTCCAAGTGTAACTCTGTCTCATTATGATTTTGGAGCCTCATGATGAGAGGCACTCTAGTGCAAATGCCTTGTCCTCTAGGTAGACTGATTCCGGCAAGTGATTCAAGAACACTAGACTTTCCAGAAGACTGATCACCAACCACCACAATAGTAGGCAATTGGATGCCTTCTTGCATTATGTTAAGATGTCGAAGCTTGTCAACACAGTCGAGGAGTGGTCGAATTCTATCATTGAAAGATGAAACAATCGGTGCAGGAACATTAGAGCCTTGTGGTTCTATCACTGCAAGATGTTTTTGATCAACAACTTGTAGTGCACATTCACTAGTAGAAGAAGAAGAGTCATTATTCATGATATGCATTATGATAAATGTTATGTTGCTTCTCTACAATGTGTGATTTCTTGATGATCATAAGAATGCAACATATGGCTATTTATACATGTTTTTTGGTCATTATTCATTTATGAGCATTAAAAATCATCAATCAAGATTAATGGCTATTGCTTTTCCAATCAAGGGGATAATTAAATAAACTTAATGTGTTTTGTATCCCCAATAATACTAAACTCATCGTTTTCATCACAAAAAACACTTGAACTACTTCTGCATGCTTTCATTTTTCGTTGGGCATTCCAACAGTTGACACAGTACCATTCCTTTCCTTTTCTGTTACACTCTGTTTCGATGGTTGTTACGTATTGATTCATAATGTATTGAATTGTTTTTAATGAATACAATATTAACGTTCTTCATCGTTACATAATGTTACACATCAGCAATTTGAATGATAAACCAACAAGAAAAATAGGATAAATGGTATAACTACTATTAAAAGGTAAGATGGAGGAAATGAGAAGAGAATATCAAGGTAATGACGTGATCACACCAAATCAGTTGTTACACAAAATATGACTTTTCATTGTTAGCTTACAGTGGATCTAAACGATACGATACAATAAAATTTAAATAACAATCAAAACAAATATTGTATTTAAACTAACAATACAATGGTAACAACCATTCAAACAAGGTGTTACAATTTCATAAAACTTCTTAAATTCCCTCCAATTATTCTCTGGCTGTGAGCTCATAATAATCAAAAGATCAGTTATTGATACAGGAAATGCAGAAAGATTATTGACAGCAAACATCCCAATTCAATTTTTCCTACAAACTTCCAGTCTTCTCAATCTATAACAAGCATCCATCAACTGGCGTTTAAGTGTCCAAAATTCCATTTACTTTGGTGATAGTAGGGGTGTCAAAAGAATATGAAAAATCGACCGAACCAACCGAATCTAATTGAACCGAACCGATTTATGCTATATTTTAATAATACCGTGGACTTTTATTTAAGTGTATAACTGTCCAGAGCAATTGAGATGGTCTTTTTAATTTATGAAAAAAACCAAAAAAATCCCGAACCGAACAACCTTACATGTATGTAAATATATTTTAAATATTAACAATATGTTAAATTTAATATATAAATATATTTTATAACATTTTTTAAATATGAATATAACTTAGGTCTTAGGTCTCTGACAACTAGACGACTTTAGGTCTTTGCTCTTTAATTAGCCTTTACTTAATTAAGTTTAAAATTAAAAGATACTGTAATAGATACTCTATCAAACCATACAACAAAACCTATCCAAACACTCCTATAAAATATTTAAGATCAAACAATATGGTAACAAGGTTTTACATATTCTTGTCTTTTTTGTGAAGAATTAAAGTGTTTCTTCAAGAACATATTTGTGAAGGAAATATATTAATAATAGTATATTTTGAGGTGATATTTTAAAAGTAAAAAAAAAATGAAAAATTAACCAAACCGTACCGATTTCGAAGAGAAATTGATATGATTGGGATGGTTTTAAAATGTCTAATTTTAATTATATATTATAAAATACCCAAAACATTGGGATGATATAGTTTTTTTAAAAATAACCATCTGAACCGTACAGGATCCATGCTCCTTTACTTGATATCATATTGTAGTGTGAGGATAATAGTAGTGGAGTTTTTCATTTATTTGATTTCACAAGAAATTACAAAATATGAAGTACACTTAGTTCTAGTAAAGTTCTATGCAATCAATTTCTTCCCTTGGTTTTATTTTTGAAAATTGTCCGTGATTCGAGGGCTATTAGTCTCAAAAGTAGGGAAGAATGTAATTTATTTTCTAACATTAAGTGAGTAGAATTATGTTCCTCCCTTGATTATTCTCTCTTGATGATCTCTGTCATTCGAGTGTCATTAGTACCATTTTCTCGAACTAAGATGATATGGACATCCTTGAGATTTATTTGATCTGAGCTTTGTAGATTTCTTGAAATATTTAGTTGTTGACCACATCTTGATTTCTTTATGAATATTATATGAATTTGTGAAATATATTCAAGATACCTCTTCAAGATAATATATTATTTTTTATATAAGCATGATCTAAGATTTAAGGTAGAATAGCCCCAAGAACATTAACTGAAATTGAAACTTGTCTTGTAAATTTCACAAAATTTTAATATCTACATATGTATTTCTTATTGTTAATTATATTCTCTAAAAATTCAACTAATTTAAATTTACATTAAAAAAATTCATCCCTAGAAAAAACGCTTTTTACCAAAGACCACTTTGTTATATTATTACTCCAACGTGTCAACCTCAAACTTAGATCTCATGAAACGTGGGTTGCACATCACCTATAAGAAAAAAGAATAAAAAAACTATAAATATATAGCAAAGACGGCAAAATATATGCTCCATGTATTTTCAGTAAAATAATAATGTTTTTATAGATAAATTGAAATTTGTAACAATAATTTTTTTGGTGCCATATTAATAAAGAAGTTAGTGACAAAAATTGAACTTCAAAAGAAGTCAAAATTCATTTATCTAATGACGAAGTTAGGAATTTAGTAATGAGTATTCAATGACGTTTGAATTTTAATATGCATAATATAAGAAATAAATATTTGATAGTACTTTATTGCTTAAATTTATGTGATATTGTTTAATTTAGTAACGAAAATTAAAATAAATTTAACTTGTAATTTTAAAAATATATCGTGATATTTTCGTGATTATAAAAACATGTCAATAAAAATATGTACAATTTAAAATGAGAAAAGTTTAAAGTTAAACTACAATCGAATATATAAAAGTGTTTTTCTTTTTCGAAACAGACTATTTAATGGGGAGACTCTACAACTAAACAAAGGCCTCAGTTTTCTTAAACAACAATTATAGTTTTTTTTTTAAAAAAAATATATTATATTATTGGTAGAAAATATAAAATTTCCATATTAGAGAAAAAAATAATAGAAGTTCAACAAATCTTGAATGTTATGTCTCAAGAAAGACTAAATTAATTAATTTATAATAAATTTCGCAAGAAAATTTAAAATTTAAGGCCTCAATTTGAGTTTTGGCATTAGGCCATTGAGGTATTTGAGCCGCCCTGCGGACTAATAAGAAATAGTATAAAAAATTAAGATAAAATGAATATAGTTTTCTAAAACAAATATCTAAAATTATTACTATTAGAAAATAGTGATTTTTCCGTGAACATAGAGATTTCTGATAGAAAATCTGTCGAAAATCGTGTTTTTTTAGGTGCATGTTTCATAATATAAAACTAAAATTCAAATATAATTCAGCTAGGATATATTCTCACTTAATTGGTGAGGTGTCTATATTATATTGTATCTATGTCCCCTTTGTGGTTATGGAGTTCACGTCTCTCACCAAAAATAAAAACTTTGAACTAAAATACAAGAAAAAACCCTAAAAACTAAGACATTGACACTTTACTTCACCATGTTTTATGATTTATTATCCACCAACATCCATTTATCAATTGTTAAAAAGCTCTTTCAAAAAAATATTTTTCATCATCTATTTTGTTCTTTCCTTTTCCTTCATGATATCAACGTTACAAAATTAGTCAGGTTCAATTATTGATCGTTATCAACCTACTATACTACATTTTCCACTTTGTACCAAAATGGCAACCAAGCCTAATGGCACCACCACTAAAAACCCCACCACCGCCAATCCGAACCCCACACCAAAAAATCAAACGTACAACCCTAAGAGCCAGACGTACAATCCGAATCGGATCCCTTATCGACCGAACTACCGACACAAACGTCGTGGCCGTGGTTGCAATTGTCGTAGATGTTTTTGTCGATGTTGTTGTTGGACTATTCTCATGATCATCGTCATTCTTATCCTTGTAGCTATTGCTGGTACAATTTTTTACTTCCTTTATCATCCTCAACTCCCTTCATTTTCGATATCCTCTCTCAAAATTTTGCAGTTTAATCTCACCACATCCCCTGATGATACTACAAGACTCGCTACTAAATTCAACGTAACTCTGTCTACCAAGAACAAAAACAAGAAAGTCGTTTACACTTATGATCCAATTGCATTAAAAGCATAATCAACCAATCAAATTGAGCTAGCAAATGGGGATTTTCCACGATTTATTAGTGCACCAAATAATGTTACAATTATACATTCAACATTATCAATTGTGTCACAAGTTCTTGATGTGGATTCAATTTCAAGTTTGAAATCAGATATGAAGAGAAAAAGTGGTATGCCAATGAGGATTTTGTTGGATACAAAAATTGTTGTGAAAATGGACAAATTGAAAACTAACAAAGTGGGGATTAGAGTAACATGTGATGGTATCAATGGACCAATACCTAAAGGGAAAAATCCAAGTGTGGCTTCAATTACAACAGCTAAATGTAAGGTTGATTTGAGAATCAAGATTTTGAGATGGACTTTCTAGTTACAACTTCACTTTTTCGGTTTTTCATACGGTGTCTGGTACATGTTTTAAAACTCGACTAATTTAAATTCACGTCAGAAGGTACCACTTTGAGGTTTCTATCTTAAGTCACTTTGAGGTTTCTATCTAAGTCGACTCCATTCTCAAGGCACAAACTCGAGATCATAATTAAGGATGGAGGAGTACTTATCAATTTTTTAATTTTTTTTTATTGATTTCAACTCAATTTGGTTTTGTGAGTTTACTGTTTTTGCTTTTTCTTTAGTCAATGTAATCAAATTTTTTACTTCTGTATAATTTTCTTTTATTTAATTTGGAATTGTTTGTAAACTGCCAGAAGAACAAACATAAAAAAAATTTGAGTTTTTTTTTATATAAAAAAATAATCAAGAATTGTAAAGAAAAACAGAGGGGTTGGAAATATATAATAGTTTTTTCAATTTTGTTTCTTTATAGTACTTCTTTGTATTACTAGTATTAGAGTACGTGTGTTGCATGTATATTCAAAATCAATAATTAAAAAAAAAATTGTATACAAAAAGTATATACA